TCACCCCCACTATGTCATAGTCGACCCCTACCACAGTACTCATCTTACGCTTTCTGAGCCTTTGTGTCTGTCTGTTTCTTTTACATCTGTGAATCACTCTTCTATTCCCCCTTTTGAATTCTTTACACTTTGATGTTCCTCCTACCCTCTGTGAAGCCCGAAGTCAACTAAAGGGCTAATGATAACTATCAAAACGCCTGCCATTTGTTATAAATAAATGTTTGCTGTTACCATAAGTTCAATAAACGCTATGCGTCTCCCTCATCTGTCATCGAGGTAGCTTATCTAATTCCGGGAGCCATTCTATACTTGGAAATGAGGTCATAGGGATTAGTGAAGATTAGTCAAGGCTTATTCGTGTAGCATTTCGCCGAATGCTTCCCTTCTTCAACTAACTAGAAAGGAGTCAGAAATTAGGTCCAAGTGGTTGAATTCCAAATACTTTTATGTACATCTATGTGTGCAAAGTGTCCATTTTATATCATCTCGTAGTGGACTGTAATCGTTATGGTAATGAGTACTGCAATATATCCACCACAACTTGTTATTCCGATGAGTCATTTAGGCCATCCCAAAACCTTTACGTGTGAATTAAGATTTAATTACCTTTCAATAATTAAACATATACGTAAATTGGATTAATTGGTTAATTTTCTATTTTACCTCATAAATTCACGTAAGATTGCTTACATTTTAGTACATGCAAAATATTGAATACGTAAGCTCAAACCGAGCTGACAAAATTGACGTTAAACGATCTTAACCTAATTAAGCGCATTAAAACACATTGTTGCAATCCCTTCCCCTAATTGTGGCGTATTAATAAATTTAAAATTTCGAACGTATCATATTGTTTCTATATGATAAAGCTTAGCCGAATTTTCTCTAAATCAGCACCTTTAGGGGGTTTGAAATCCCAGCAACGTATTCGAAATATGGAAATTAAGATCCGTTCGTGGAAATGATCGAAATATGAAAAATCTGGATTGGAGTGTTAGTGAAAAGGCAGGCGGACAAACAGGCTTAATATTGAATTATAGGTCTCTTAATGAAATGTTTGTAAACATTTAAACATACTCCGATGGTATTCTCATCGATCGGCCCTAGAAACCAACTTTCTTGTCCGTTTTTACAGACGTCACTAAGTAGGTGCATGCGTTTTGTCTCCTAATGATGTGATTTTGGTTGTCTTTTCAAGATAAACGTCGAACTTTTAGTAAATGTCAGATTTACTATTTCTTTTAAACAATTTCCATTTTTTTTTACCTTTCCGCTTGGCCATAACTGATCGCATATTGGCCACTTTAAAAATTGAGTCGTTTTTAGCTGAATCTATAAAACCACTTTACTTCCTGACGAATTTAAACAGATTTTTGATATGCAGAGTTGTGTCATCCAGGCAACCAGTCTAACTGTCTCTTGGAAACTTTTGAAGCTAAGCCATAACTCCAATTTGAAACCCCAAGTCAATCGCAATCCCAACTATGTAGAAAATTTTTGCTTCGATCCCGAAATCTGGACTATTAGGTTTCTTTTCTTCCCAGACGAGGTTACTTTGAGAGCAAACGATTCCCCTGTCTGACTAATATCTTGATGCTCAACTTGTTCCAACTGACTAATCGAATACATTGATCTATTGAAATATGATATTTAAAAAATCAAATTTAATTGGTTAGCACAAATATAATCGATAACTGGAGATTACTTAACTTACTTTTACTGTTTTAAAAGACACTACACAGCAAATAATCTCACTTTTATCTGGCCAATATAATTATGATAGACATTTTCAAATTCGATGCCTAAGAATATGCTTGAATGGACGGACGCATCAGTGAGGGACACCGAGCCTCATTAACACTAGGTGATAAGCAAATGAGATTAAACGCAAATTCTGCCCATTTTGCAATTGATTTATTTATACCCTGGAAGAGGTAGCAGAGTGGCGCAGTGGGAGAGTGCTGGGCACATAACCCAGAGGTCCGTGGATCGAAACCACGCTCTGCTAGCTTCCTGTCCTTCACTGCGCCCGTTTGGGGTGTGCGATAGACTTACCGCCACGTGTTGCCCCCTGGGCAACGTATAATCATACGGCAAAAAAGTCCATTAATCGGCAGTTGACTTCTGACTTCAAACTACCAGCACTCCACTGTATGTCATATTCGACCACTTCCACAGTATCCATCTTACCCATTTTCTGCCTTTATGTATGTCTGTCTCTTTTACATCTGTGAATCACTCTTCTTTTACCCCTCTCGAATTTTTTTCAATTTGATGTTCCTCCCCTCTGTGAAGCTCGAAGTCAGCTAAAGGGCTAATGATAATTATCAAAACGCCTACCATTTGATATAAATAAATAAATACCTGGAAGATACACAACTGAATATATCGTAGAAAGTATGAATTCAACTAAATGACTTATTTGCTTGGCAAGTTTGCATGAATCTAATATGACAGGCGGAGTTTGGGTTAGAGTCCTCGCCTACTTTGAAATAATTTGAATGTAGACACCGAGACGTTTCAAAAGAGTCTCGATATTTTTAATTAAATAGGATTTCCTATTTCTATTGTGGTTACCTCACATTCCACTCTTCAATGGATTTAGTTCATCTTTGTTAAAACAAGGGAAAGTCTCTAATCCCACAGAGCAAATATCTACGCTCATTCTGAAAAGCTGTTTGTTCCTCAATACAGCAAGGCATTTGCTTGTCCGAATGGTATAAAATAGGAATATGTTTATTGATATGTTCATTATTCTGGATTCCATTTTCAAGCGGTTAAATAATCCCAAAAATTTGAAGATTTAAACAATTTTTTATTATTTGTTTATTGTAACTGCAAATGGAAAAGCTGAGTTAACTCATACTTGTCACTTATTAATTCTAATTAATGTTATAAATAAAAGTCTCTCTTTAGATTTTTGACATCCATGATGCCGTACACGTGTCGGCCTCTCAAGACTGGAGCGAAATTGATTTAAATGCGGTGGGTGTGTTCAAAAAAGTACAGCCAGTTCCCTTACGTCAAGTGAATAAAGTAAATTCCAAGACTAAACAAGCAGGCAACTTGCATGGAATTGTCCCCGCGAGAGATAAAATGGACTAAATTCAAGCAATTCTTATCGAATCCCCTAAAGCGGAATACGGTTCCTCCAAAAGAGTCCAAAAAATGTTGGTAGAAAGCAAATGAAACAATTGGAGTATTTCAAAAATCTTTTAGATTACACTAAGATGGAGTTTCCATTGAGTGAACACGGCTTACAAAACTTTGATGACGTAGAACTCTAACCTGCTCCACTTACGTTTGCAACCACTAAAGAAAAGGAAAAAAATGTATTTGATCATGAAAACTGACTTTTCTTGCTTAAAAAATATTAGTAAGGAAGCACTCCGCGTTGTAGACAAACATTTGCTCTAACGCAAGAGACGAATCGCGAAAGTTGAATCTTTGAAGGTGACCTGCTTTCGTAACCCAAAAACTAGACATTTGTAAGCTAACATCAAAGGGTAATTTTTAGGCTTCTCATTTGACAAGTTTTTTTTTCTTCGGGTAGTGCCGTGGCATCCTCGAATCTCACCTAGATCTACCTTTTTTGACAAGATTAATTATTAACCCATTTAGTGACATTTTTCATAGCATATTAATCGATGAATGTCAACCCTTTTACTAATAGAGATGATATTTATTAAAAGATTCGTATAGGTATGTGCATATTAGTTACAGTCGAGATTAAATTGATTGGGGAAATGGTGCGGTAAATTGACTAATAGGAATGGGAACAACAGGGTCCCTATCAGGTACTCTTAATCTATCCTACCTTTTTTCAAAGAAATTTTTCGGGAAAGCTCACACTGAACTTAATGCCGTTTTAATCATTTATGTCTTACATAAAAATTAAGTCAAACTCATCTATACATCTGTCCAAAACCGAAATCCTATGAAGTCTGGTTGAATGCTGTCATCAATTCTATGCCAGAAATTTCTTTTATCCTTGGTCAGCTTTCATGCTTATTTATGTGACACAAAATATCAGAAGCAAGCAATTTCTTAAGGCTTTTACAGACAATTTCAGACACGGTTTTCGCAATTTAAGTCAGAACAGAAGAGGGGTTGGATATAGTGAGAAAAGAATGCATGTCCCTCTATTACTGTTAACACTGTTACCAATTTCCATATCAAAATTTGGCAGTTAATGAAGTTAGTGCTACACTAGTCTTATTTCAGTTGAACATCTGTTCAAAGAGACGTCCAACTTCGCATAAGTACGAGTTCTCCTTACTAGGTACTAATACTCAGTCTTTAGCATTTGACTTCCGGCTTCAAGTAGGAGAAAAATAGCACCTTATTCTTCCTGTTTATATTCCACTTTTATAGCCAAGAGCATTTGAAAGATTTACCTCCACGTGGTACAACCTGGGCACCGTATACTCATACACCAAAAAGTCGATAAATCAGCGATTGACTTCTGACTTCACACTACCATGGCCCTACTGCGTGTCATATTCGACCACTTCCACAGTACTTACCTTAGTCTTTTCTCTACCTTTGTATCTGTCTCTTACATCTGTGAATCACTCTTTTGTCCCCCCCCTCCCGACTTTTTGTGAATTTGGTTTTCCTTTTCCCTGTGAAGCCCGAAGTCAACTGAAGGAAAAGTGATAACTATTATTGGGCCTGGAATTTAATATGAATAGATTCAAAAGCTCTGAATCTAAGGGTCAACATTCTAAATGAATTGAACTTTCATTTCTGCACACGTGGCATAATTTCATATATGACTTACATCTACTGTAATGACTATTTTAAAAAATCGATGCGAATACCTTCTTCCCTCACTTCAATTCCACTTAATTTTAATGAACACCTATGTGATTTGCACTATAATCAAAGAATATATAAGTGAAAGTATGGCAACGAGCTGATATCCCACCTGATAGATCACACGTTCTCTAACATAAAATGGGATCACAAAATTCCCAAAATTTATTTGTTTATTGGAAATGCAGCGCCCGCCTATTGCACGTATACGCCTTCCTGCTTTTTGGCCAGATCAAGTTGAACTCTGGTTCGCGGCTTGTGAATCCCAGTTCGCAGCATATGGGATCCACAATCAGCATGCTCGATACTCCTGTGTTCTTGCATTGCTCAGGCCTGAGGACTCCTGTCGGTTAAGTGATCTAGTCCTAAATCCCGACCCTAAACGTCCCTATGACCGGTTGAAAACAACCCTGATAGAGCGAAGTCAAACACCTCAGTGGCGAAATGACAGGGATGAGACACCGTCAGTGATACTCAATCGAATTCGAATGGCGATGTATGAAAAATCCATGGAAGCCGATGAGACAGCTTTAAAGGAAATGTTAATACCATTCCTACCACCAGCCGTGAGGTCAATTCTTGAACCAGTGAAGGAAGTTGCATCGCTAGATCAATTGGTCCAAATGGCGGATAGAGTGCTTGCTATCAAGTCGGAGCAGCAAGCTATGGAAGCATCGTTCGGTGATATGCTCTCAAGGCGCCAACTACAGCAGAATTTTATTCCGCCACAAAATTTTAATCATCCGCAATCTCAACTACCACAACAAAATTTCCATCAGCAAAATCGTCAAGGATGGAGGCAAAGATCTGGAAGGTTTAACAGAAGAAGTGCCAGTCGAAGACCACGAGCCGCGTCACAATGCCCAATTAGACAAGATTACTACTAATCGAGATCCCTGAAATCACTCATTAATCAAATTTTCAACGACTACCAATAATTTCATCAATGATTAGATAACCTATGAGCAAATCAAGGTAAACAATGGATCAAAATAACCTCAAATATAGAAATGGATTGAAAACGTGTAACTTTCCTCTTATCTGTGTGCGTAAGATTTAATATTAATTCATTTTTAAAGGTTATTTACATTAAGATTCCTTTCTTCCAACGATATATATATGAGCTATTCACAATTTGTTAAAACCCAAAAATATGATAGTAGAAACCAGATAATCAATCAAAAATTTACTCGTCTACTGAATTATAAAAATTAAGGTACCAAAATGAGCTTTGTCATCAATATTTGCTCTAATTCAAAATATTATAACCAAATGTAGCTCACCCCTTTACTGAAACAAAGGCCACTAATTATCATGTAGGAAATTTCGTGTTAAAGAGCTTTAATCAATAAAATATATTTTCCAGACAATAGAGCTAAGAGCGAATGGTTTTGAAAGTTGGCGATTGTGAAGTAGATGCTACTTTTTGGTTCTTACTTAAAAAATTTCACACATTTTCATGTTCTGATGGGTTAGGGTCAATTGACAATATTAAACTCCTCAGATTATTTAGAAAATCCTCGAACGATTTGCTATTTCTAGTCATCTTGTTTTTTGTACTCATATATTCGTACTGGGGTGTGCGATTGACCTACCTCTACTTGGAGCAACCCGGGCAACGTAAACTCATACGGCAAAAAGGTCAATAAACAGGCAGTTGACTTCAAACTACTCTGATCCCACTGTATGTGATATTCCACCACTCCCAGAGTACTCACTTTACCCTACTCCCTACCTTTGTGTCTGCCTCTTTTACATCTGTGAATCACTCTTCTATTGCCCCCTCTCGAATTCTTGTGACTTTGATGTTCTTCCCTCCACAGAGGCCGAATTCATCTAAAGAGGCTTACGATAACTAACAATGGTATCTTAACTACATAAAATAATTATATTAAAGTGGCAAGCTATTCGTCTGTTAGGATAATTGTTCAGTGAATAGGGAAATACCATCATAATAACAATTATAATATTTCCTGTTTTCAATGGACATAAATTTTAAAAACGTAAACAACGTTTATGTAATGCATGGTTATAGCATTTTATCAATCACAACAGCTCAGATTGTCAAGACTGGAAGTTTCGAAGGGTTAGATATGCGTGAATTTGCTGGTTCCAGGAGTAAAAGTTCGAAAACTGCGAATCTGTACAAATCGCACTTACTTTTCAGTTTTATTAACGTACACAGATCTAAAATAAATTAATAATTGGACGAATCTCTTGCTTTAGCATTGTCGTCTTGTAGATACAAAATGAAAAATTCCTGAACAAATGAGTTGTCTTTAGGAATTTCACCTTAGCACAAAGGCGATTGTTTTGTTTTAAAATTCACTTCCTGTAGGAAGTTAATTTGGGCTTATTGAATGAACTAACGGTAGAATTGGTTTTGGTCACAATTGTACTGTTTAGGTAAATGAGCTTCGTGAATTTCACATTTTATGTGGGTTAATTTCATAGATTTTGTTGTGCTTTATTCATTACAATTTAAGAACATACTGTTTGAAGTGATAATATTATTGAGAACAACTCATCTTTGGCCTTTATTTCAATTATTGGGTGGCATTTTAATTGGTCCATTCAGTGTATGATAAAAGAGAACAATTATCACGTGAAGCATTATGGAAAGAGAGGCATTTTGTAGAAAGCAACAGAGACTAATTCAAGCACTGGAATTCTGTGGTAGTAGAAAAAAAACATTTTGACTGAAAGTAATATTAGAAAAAAAAGTTGGAAGAATGTAAGTGGTAATGCCTTAGAATAATTTCCAAATACTAATCATGAAGTAAACATTTTGGGCGCCGGAGTTCTGAATTTTGATATGCTTATGTTAGCATGATATACCGAGCACAGCCTTTAGCAAAAAATTGTTATGGTAATTGCGCAGTCTGTAAATAACTGGCTGTGTGGTGCAGCTTTTTTGAGGTACCAGAAAGACCCAACTAACAACTGGTCATGAATGCAATTTTACACCAATTGGGGAATGTGAACCATATATATATATATATATATATATATATATACCGAATTTTTATCTTCTTCAATGATAAAACACACTTCCCTACCATCTATTAGCTCTTTCCAGTATAGTTGCTTAGACACAGTGAACCAATTTAAAATGTCAACTAATTAACTGAAGAAAAATAGGAATAACTAATTGATTAAATAACTTTTAGCCAATAATATAAGCACTTAGAAGACATAGGTAAACGAAACTTAAAATATTTGTCAAAAAGACTTGTGGAGCTCACATGATTACTCAGGGGTCAATAAATGCAATTTTTTGCATTTAGGTTCAAGCAGCCTCTGCAAGAGTACTTTATGTGACCTTCATAGACAACTCCACTCATGTTGATTAAAAGTTTATGGCAAACTCACCTGTGTCTTACACTCACTTGTTAGGCAGACTATTTCAAGCAGCCTTGATTTCTGTTTCACTTTCTTGTCTACCAATCTTAATTATTTCTACTGGATTTCAAATAGATTCTCCTTTGCAAAATTGTAAAATGAATTTTTATTATTTTCCTAAAAACATAGCATTGAAGACCATATTGCTTATTTACACCGTAAATAAAGCTAGATGCCCTCGTTTGGCTGGTTATTTTATTAACCACCCTCTATTTAATGTATCTATTTATAAAATAATTGCTCCAAAATTTCATGTGAAAAATATATTACTCATTAATTCAATGGACCGAAAACTGAACGAAATATAACTATGAGAAATGAATGGAGAGTTTAAATTTCACTTCCTAAACTGACAGCGGATGAACTATGGGGTGAAAGTGACGCTTGATATTTGATTCTCTGTTTTTCTCTAAACGAAATTATTGTTTTATTTCGTAAGAAAAGGTTTTAAACTTTTACCGAAGAAAATATATGCTTGTGGAAGGGGAATGTAGGGGTGTAAATATCTATCAAGGTTGACATCAAGATGCCTTCGTTTCACATGTATCGAATCGCTGCACTAATAAGACATGACTATAAGCAGTAATCTCTATGGCAGATTCTCCTACGTTTGGAAAGGCTCCAAGGATTAGCTAGGGTAGCGAAAATTCATTGGGGACACAGACATATTGCATGGAACACCTTTATTTAGAATTATCTGATTATAGGTGAGGAATTTGGGCATAATATACACTTTCTGGTAATATTACCATTTACTGGTTTTGACCGTTGACTGGACATCCTGGTTTTGAGCATCGATTTATCGAGAAACTTCTGCTTTCGTCATGTTAAAGTTGTGTTTCCAGCACACCCAAGTCAAGTACTGAAAACACTTCCAGTAACAGCGTCGATATATTTTTGATTTGGGGTGTGCAATACACTTACCTCCACGTGGTGCACCCTGGGCAAAGTATATTCATACCGGCGGTTGACCTCTCACTTCTATCTACTATGACCAGACACTATGTCATATTACACCACTTCCAAAGTACTCGTCTTACCTTTTTCTCTACTTTTGTGTCTGTCTGTCTCTCTTACATATGTGAATCACTTCTCTGTCCCTCTTCTCAAATTTTCTCACTTTGATGATAACTATCGAAATGCCTGCCATTTTAAATAAATAGATAAATAATTTTTTTATTTTTGATTAGCAAACTGCCATTATCAAGTAAATTAAAAAAATAAAGTCCGAATTTGCTGAAATAGTATTTAACTTTTAAAGTAATGGCGTGTAAATGGCCACTCGGAGAACTTGAAACTATTTGCTAAACGATTTAAAGTTTAGTAATTCTGCATCAGCATGCTTGTTAATAAAACAAAGGAGCATATATTTAAACGCGGGCAGATGGGGAATTGTTGAAATAGGTTTTATCACAGTAATAGGAAAATTTATTTATTTATTTATATCAAATGGCAGACGTTTTGATAGCTATCATTAGCCATTTAGCTGACTTCGGGCTTCACAGAGGGAAGGTTAATTAAAGTAGCAGAAAGTCGAGGGGCGGGGAACAGAAGAGCGATTCACAGATGTAAAAGAGGTAGACAGACATAAAGGTAGGGAAAAAGGTAAGATGAGTACTGTGAAAGGAGTCGAATATGACAAGCAGTTGGGCCATAGTATTTTGAAGTCAGAAGTCAAATGCCGGTTAATAGACTCTTTTGCCGTATGAGTATACGTTGCCCAGGGTGCACCGCGTGGAGGTAAGTCTATCTCACACCCCGTAATTGGAAAGTGGAAATCGAATTTGTGAGCAACCAGTGCGCGAGGATCAAGACCAATGGTTATCCTCAGGTGTACCAAATTATTCTCCCCGATTGCTGTTAAAGTATATTTTTCATGGGAAAGAAATTAAAGAAAGAACTTACGCGTGTATCAATCGAATTAAAAATTAATTCCAAATTTTGTAAAATGGCTAAAATCTAACAAGATTGTGAGTTTTATGCTTGGAGTAATGTTAAGCACTTACTCAATTAAGCTTTTGTTCAGAGGTTTATGCCTATTGTAACTGATTCCGGGCTAGTTTT